CCCCCACTGAGCTCCTAGCCTTAGCTTGGCGCCCTGCCCCATCCTGTTCCACAGGTACCACGAGTGGCCCCGGGGTCACGCGCCCACAGACTATGCCCGCTGGCGGGAGGCTCAGACCCCATACCGTGTGCAGTGGGCCGCTGACTATGAGCCCTACGTGGTGGTGCCACGTGATTGTCCCCGCTATGACCCCCGGTTTGTGGGCTTTGGCTGGAACAAGGTGGCCCACATCGTGGAGCTGGATGCGCAGGTGAGGATGTGCCTTGCTGCCCCCAGTTTCAATTTGGATACCTCCAGGCCCAGGGAGCTCACTACACCTCAGCGTGGCACACGGCACCAGTAGGCAGTACTATTAGAAGTTTCATCCGGATAGAACTAAGATCTGCCCTTTGACCCTCACTTTGGCTGTGAGGGACTCTCAAATAAGCCCGCTCCCCATCCCCCAGAGCTGCAATCCTCCCCCCAGCCCAGGCAATGAATGTCCATGTGCCTCCGCCCCTATAGGAATATGAGCTCCTGGTGCTGCCCGAGGCCTTCACCATTCACCTGCCGCATGGCCCAAGCCTGGACATCTCTCGCTTCCGCTCCAGCCCCACCTATCGTGACTGCCTCCAGGCCGTCAAGGATGAGTTCCACCAGGACTTGTCCCGTCGCTATGGGGCTGCTGCCCTCAAATACCTCACTGCCCTGCGGCAGCCCCGAAGCCCCGCCTGACCTGGTGCGTGGCTCACCCCTGCCCCCCGCTTGGCTCTCACAGGCCCCCTGCGGACACTGGAGCAACGCTGCCACCCTCCCCACCCTCCCCGCTATTTAAATTATTGAAGGTCTCAGTGGAAAGGGCTTCAGTTGGAGCACCTGCGGGGTGGGTCCTGGGGGCCTCCCCTTGCTGCTATCTATGGCTGGGGTCTACTCTCTCGGTGCCCCAGCTGTTTGGGGCTGGTTTCCCCATCTTCATCTGTACATCCCTTTTTCATAATTAAAGTTCTTCAAGCTCTTTTTCATGTTCCATCTGGTTTGGGGCATGAGGGTGTGGGTCAGCCAGGAAGAGGCTGAGTCTCCCTGGAGTTGCAGGAGGGCCCGGACCCGAGTGTGTCTTGCCCACCCTCCCCTGCCCCAAACCCAACACCATGAGGCTGAGAGACTTTATTTGGCTTTATTTAGTAAAATGTTAAAATAAATAAATACAAATTGATCAGCTGCTCTGGATCCCCCCCCACCCCCTCAAAACAAAAATGAAACAAACAAAAACAAAAACTTTGAAGCACAAAACTCCAAATACAAGTTCTACCAAGACTGAAATCACAAAGGGCGTGGACAAAGAGACAGGATTGGGGGCTGGCTGGCTCTTTTCTGCTCGGAGCTTGCTGACCTCTGGCTGCCCGTCCTGTCCCGCCTGACTGCAGCTTACCCTGGGCCGAGGACCCAACGACACAGAGGTACAGGGGCCAAAGGCTGCTGTGGGGGATGGCAGAGTCCTCAGGGAGGAAGGGCCTCGTGGGGAGAGGGGGGAGCAAAGTGGAATTTGTGAGCCCTGCCCTTCCTCTACAAGGGCTTTAGAGTTCCACCGTGGCTCTCTGGAGGGGGCGACCCCCAGTGTCCTCCCCTTCACTAATGCCGGAGGGCCAGGGAAATCTTCCCGGGGGCCACCCCCTCCCTTGGAGAGGAGCGGACACCGAGGACGGCTATAAGTCAGGGTGAGAATGGGTCTCCTATTTCCTGCCAGGGGTGCCCAGCTGAGGGGTGGGGGTGAGGCCCACAGTCATTTACACAGAGCGAAGTTCCCCTATCCAACAGAAGCCATGGAATCTGGAGAACCCAGGGCCTGAAGAATACCTGAGCCACCATCCATCTTACTACCCCAGAAGAGCCTTTTACCCCTGGGGTAAAAGTCTCCTAAATTAAGCCCTTTGAGTAAATCAGAAAGACCACACCCTAAAAGGGAGTGAAGGGAGGAAACCGCTTAGAGCGCATCGTGTGACTTGGGATGAGAGCCCAGAGAGGCTCTGCTGGCCCCAAGAGGAAGAATCGGAGATGGCTGGAGGAGCAACCGTACATGCAGACTTAGTGAACGTGAAACAGTCACCCTCACTCGCGGGGAGAGGCATGGGGCGGCCGTTGTGCCCGTTCGCACTGCCTGTTGAGCCTGAGCCAGGAAGAAGCCGGGACAGGCAGGCCCCGCAGGGAAACCGGGCACTCAGATGCATGCTGGCTGGAGGTGGCCGCAGGGCAGCGCCACCCAGAGAAGGGCCCACCTGGGGGCTGCCCCGAGCCTGGTCGCCCCAAAGGGCCTGATAAAGAAGGGAGAAAGCAGACCTCTGGATGAGCGCAGCAGCAGCGGTGAGACAAGACCCAGCAGGCTCCAGGAGAGAAAAAGGACCTGCGGGCGGCATTGGCAAGAACGTGAGGCGGGAAGATGACAGCAACATGAGCTCAGCAGCTCCAGGGTGCAGTGCCTGCGTCACGGGCCTGATCAAGGGCCCCAGACCAGCCACTCCCTGGCACGTGAAGTGACTGCGAAGCCAGCTGGTCTGAGATGTGCCCGTGAGCAGCTAAACCCGGGCATGGCCAAAGAGCAGCAGAGGGAAGGAGAGGGAGGTGGGGACAGCCCAGGTGAGGCAGGCATGAATGCGTGTCTCAGGTGGTCACAAGCACCCGCAGGTCTAGGGCACAGAGAGAGGGTCTTTTCTTGGCAGGACAGTAGAGGAAAAGGAGACAGGGTGACCAGGGCCTTTTCTTGGCAGTAAGTAGAGTTTTGGGATTTGAGTCCAGAATGTGGGGGTTTGGGGGCAGGGTTGCATTTGTACTCCACACTAGCTGACTCACAGAACAGCTCATACCTGCACTTAGGAAGACTCCACATCCCAACCCCAGGCAAGGCCAGAGTGTGAGTACTCACAACAGCAGGCAAAATGCTGGTCAGTGCCTAGCTGTACCCACGCCCCATCTCCCCCCGACACCCCGGGAATTCGCAGGCAGCTCCTTTTTGAGCAAAGGCCTCTAGTGATGATGATCGTTTCCTAACTCCTTTCAAGAAGAGACAGGTATCATGTGGCAACTCCCAGTCTCTGGGCCCAGACAAGTCAAATGGGAGAGCTTAAGACTGGGCGTACAGCCCGCTGCTGGGCTCTTAATCTCCGCCAACTATTCCTCCAACTAGTCCAGGCATCTCCAAAGCTCCCTGACTAGACGTAGCACCTTGGTTTCTGCAGGAGAAAAGGGAGCTCCTCTGTCCCTCTCAGGCAACCTCGAAGCCAGGGCCTGACTCTGAGGCCTGTAGAACAACTCCTAATCCCCTAACATTCCTGGGAAGAGGAAATGGCCAGTAGAGATGAGGCATATTTGACCTAAGAAGTGTCCCTTTCTCTTGAATTTGCTTTCAGGGTTCTAACTGGGATCTCTGGGCCTAACTGGGTGAGGGAGAAACTAATGGGACCTTTTCTGCCCCTCCTAGACTCTGGCCATTATGGAGTATGGGGCGGGCTTGGGAGAGCTGTCCCAGAAGAGCTGCGGCGACAAGCGCCTGCCTCCCTCCTGTGGGCCAGGCACGTGATGGGCCAAGGTCTCCGATGAGGGCACAAACCTGACAAAATTTACTTCCCACGAGGCAAGATGATAGAAATGGTCCGAGTCTTTCAGAACCCTGGTTTTCTCAAGGAGGAGACAGGCCAAGCCAAGGCAAGCACAGCGATTCTAGCCAAAGGTCGCCCAGGAAGCTTGTGGATGGGCAAAGGGCAGTAAACTCTATCGCCGGTACCTGGAGCCAGCAGGCAGAGAAAGCGGCTGGAGAGTCAGACCTCTTCAAAGGCAAGACAGACACAAAGGCCACCCTGGGGCTCTTTGTCTCAGAGACACCATGTACCCTCAAGACCTCTCACTCCTTTGTTCTTTCTCAGCACCAAGGGCTGATGCAGCCAGCCTGCCCCCTGCACCCTCCCACCAAGGCCAGGGTGCCTGGGCACCGATGAGTGTCACTGGCCGTGTCCTTCAAAGTTGTCCCCCAGGCACTCACAATGCTGGTGGCTGAAAGACGGAGAGCAGCACCAAAGGAAAGGATCTTATTTAGGCACCAGCCTTTTGCTCTAGCAAAATCCGAGGAGACAATGGGTAGGGTAGGGCCCTGATAACCATCCACACTCCATGTGGGCTTCAAAAACAGAAGCCCAGATCCCTGCGCCAAGAAGAGAGGACAGTCCTTTCCGAGGAGGGGAGAGTGGTGGGAGGGCTTGGCCGCTGCCCGTCAGGGCTGCAGTCGCCCAGAGGACAGAAATCATGGAGACTAGCCCACCAGTCTTGAGACACAAACACAGCAAAATGTCATCATGATCAGCAGGTTCTGTGCTAAAAAATTATAACTACACAGCATTTTCTCCAGTTCTGACACCTTTTTAATAGAAATCACTGTTTTTAGGAAACAAATAGCACTTTTGTAATTTTTTTTTTTACAATGTTTCTTACCTTGATCTTAATTTAAGTAACACTAGGAAGACCTCAATATCTTTTATTTTCCTTTTTAATTTAAAAAAAAGTTGTTGTTGTTGTTGTTTTCCCCAGATACAAAGATTTTTGCCCTTGCATAAAAAACAGTGCCCCGAACGATGACACAAGGACTCACACGGACTCACTGGACCTCACTGACACTATGATTCCTATTCTACCATGCACGGCCTCGACTACCCTTAATTGACTGTCAGCCTGAAAAACAGCTTTTCTATTCCTTATTTTAGTTTTTGTTACCAAAAAAGTAAAATAAACAACAAAATAAAACTTTTTTCTTAAAGAAAACAAAACAAAACAAAAATTTAAAAAAAGAGAAAAGAAACATCTCCATTCAATTCACACACACCTGGGTCGCGTGCTGCTTCGCTCAGAATCTTCTCTTCTTATAAATATAGAAAAGGGATGGAGCTTGTTTTCAAGTAAAAATCACTGATCCACCTTGTTTTCCCTCCTGGACACACACACCCTTCTTCCCTGCCCCGGGCAATGGCCCACCAAGCAGGCCTCTTGCCTGTTCTTGGAGAGGGAAGGTAACCGGATCATCCACGGGGATGCGCGCCAATTTGCCAAAGCGGGGAAGGAACGCGGGGAGTGGTGGGGGCGTCCGGGGCGGGAGGCGGAGTGTGCGGGAGAAGGACCCCGTGGCTGTCCTCGGTGTCCACTTCCCCGTGCATTGTGCCCCACCCCGGACAATAGGAAATACTGCTTATTTGATAGACTTTTCCCACCCCGGCTCCCTCCCATTCCCTCCCATCCCTCCTCTGGGCACTGGGGTTGGTTAAATCTCGATTTCCTTTTTTTTGGTTTTATAGTAGTGAAAGTTTAGAAACAGGAAAGCCCACACACTCTTTGGACTTGTCTTCTCTACCTAAACAAACGGCTCGGCAAATAAGGATCTGAAACCTGCTCTCCTCCCTCCGCCCGTCCCTGCTCCCCACCCAACAAAACGCAAACAAACCCATGGTGGCTGTGGAGGCTGCTGCAGGCACACACTGGTGTATAATAGAGAGAGTAAATATATTATTTCACTTGGCATGGTGCTGGCAAAGAACCTCCAGCTGGCACTATTTCATGTAACATGGTCCAATCTTTGCATGTACACACAGAATAAGAAGGATCAATTGGCAAACTCCGGTGCCACCCGGCACTAGCATCTTCTCTCTCTCTGGAACCAAAGAACCAAAAGAATTCTGTACTTTCCAGAAGAAATCCGGCTTTGCTTTTCTAGAGTCTTCAGTGTTTTTGCTCTCCTGGCCGCCGGGAGCCTGCGGCTTCTCCTGGCGGGGCTCTGTTATTTAGTCTCGCCCCCCTGGGTACAGTTCGCTGTGCAGCTCTGGGGGGAGGGGGAGGGGGCCGGCGTGGAGGTGGCGGCGTTGGCAGGGGGGGTACAGTCCGGGCCGTTGGAGATGGCCCCCACAGTGGCCTCAGAGTCTACAGGTTTGGAGAGGTCGATGCCGTGGATGAGGCGGATCAGCTGTTTTACCTTCTCCAGGGAGCTGTGCATCTCCTTCTGCCGGGCCAAGATGGTATTCTTCATTTCCATGCATTTCTGCAGCAAATGAGAAGGGCAGTGGCACTGAGCCTCCGTGGCTTTTCTGACAGGCCTGGCAGCTCTCTCCAGGGAAAAGAACCCTGCTGGCTGGTGTGCAGCCCCTAGACCTTGCTCTGCTCTGCACTGGAGGGGGCACTACCGCCCAACGAGTGAGTGGTTTAAGAGCCAACCCTGCTTGACACTAGGACTTAAAACCAAATGTGAATTACCATTCCAACGCTACAAAATAAAAGCAATTTAAAAACAACATTCCCAGAGCTGCGCTCAGGCTGGTTTGGGCAGGTTTTGGTATGCCTCTGCCTTGCAAATGGGTGCTAATGTGCTCAGGACTGGACTGAGCTTTCGAGAGTAGAAAATGAGCCAGTGGCATCTGGATCCAATTTGAGGGCTACTGAGGATCACTTGGTCGGCAAGAATTTAGAGGCAGGCCTAGGGTAGCACAGTGATACTTGGGAGAATCAAACACTGCAGCCAACAGAAACCCTTCTGCTCAGTCATGGACTTGTAGTCTTTTGCCCTTTTGCCCAAGGTCTCCCACAGCTGCTGGCTTCTGTTCTAGGCAGGAAGAGAGATGAAACCTGCATGCCATGGGGAGTATGGTGACGAGGAGAAAGCAGTGGAGTGGGACAGCCCAACTGCCACCAAGTCCAGGGTCCCACCTCCTGTCCACGAGGGCTGAGGCCACCTGGCTCCAACAAGGGGAGGGGTACCTACTCAAAGAGAAATAAAACTTGCTCTGGAGGAGCCTCAGAATCTCTGCTGCAAACACAACCTGGACAGGCCAGGCCGGGCAGTATTTACTTCCAGTACTTGTCTCCAGGAACCTCTCTTCCTCAGGCTGGTCAGGAAAACCTGGAGACGCAATCAGCAGGGTGTGGAAGAAAGGATGGGAGTGACGGGCCATGCAGACAGACCACTAACTAGGACGACTAGAAAGGCTTCTATGCAGGGACCTGATCTGTGTCTACCTGGCGTGGGGAGAGGCTTCATACTCCTCCCAAACCCACTCAGGAACACACAGGGGTGGTGGCCATCCTGCCGTAGCTGCTACTGCATCTCTTTAGCCTGGAGACTGAAAATCCTCTCTCAAATCAAAGCCACTGGGAGGTTCCAGAGCTTGGCGAAGACACCATATACCAACTGGCCACCTGTCCTGAGGGCCAAATTGTAACTGCAGGCAAACTTTGCGTCCATCCCAAGTTACCTGTGTTAACAAGCTAAAGGACCCGAATCCACCCTTGGGAGCCACATGGACTATTGTGCACGTGGAAGGGTCCTCCTATCTGTATCCATCGCCGAAGGCATGAACTTTACTTACACTTATAGAATTGCTGAGCTGTTTCACCTTCTGCTCTAGTTGTTCTCGTTCTTGTTTTAAATCTGAACTCCATTTAAGTAATTTCTGTTTCTCTTCTTCCTTTGCTGAAAAACAAAAAAAGAAAAGAAACGGTTTTTAACAATAAATTCTTTGAAAAGGCTACTATGTTCAGAATGCTGGCCAAAGAAGGCATTTTGCCCAAAGTTCCCCTGAGCTCCAGTCAGCGTGCAGATCATGCCCACCTAGACTTTCCCTTATTCTGTGTATAGCCGGGTATGCTAAGAAAACTAACTGTCAGTGGTGTGGGCCTGGCTCTAAGTAAGATGCTGCTTCTCATTTTTCCTCCCCAAGAAAATACTACACAAACTTTTCAATTTGTTCAAGAAAAGCTTTTCATTTGTAACTTTAAATTTCCTTTTGAAAACAAAACAAATGCGGCCTTCCCGTAGTTTTTTTTTTTTTTTTAAATCAAGGGGAGGCTTCCACAAAAGGGGGTGTGGATGATTCTTTACCTGCTTTGTAGGCGATATAGGAATGAACAATTGCTAAAGTTCCAGGCCACGGAATTGCTTCTTCCTTCTTCAGCATCTGAAACAAGGTTTAGAATTTTACCTTGAAAGGAGGTATAAACACACATCCCCTGTGTAGTGACAAGCAACGTGTCTTGTCTTATGGTGGACTTCTGGTGCCACGGCTGCAAAACCCTGCTCTGTACTTTCTAGACTATGAAGTTCCAGATGCTCCTGACAAGATGAGGTTCAAGGACAGGAAAAGCCAAGCCACTCGAGCCCCAGCTTGGAAAGAGGCTGGGACCTGGCTGGGCATTCCCAGCTCCTCATGTACACTACACACGAGGCCCAGCAACCCGGGCAGCCACAGCCACTGGCATCCTTGACCGGCCTGTCTCAGGTGTCGCTTTACATGTCCCTCAAAGACAGCCTGACCAAGGAAACGAAATGTCATTTCCAAATACTAAAGTATAATCTGGACCTGGTGCAGAAAATTATCAGATGGTCAAAGAGCAGCTTCAGGAGAGAACACAGAGAGGTTGGTGTCTACTACCTGGTGCAGATAGTAGGATGAGGACCAGGATTAAAAGGGGAAAACCAGAATTCTCTCCAACAGGATTCCAAAGACCTGAGTAGCATGCCAAAGCTTGCTGAGCTATTAGGTCTATTTATTATTTATACTTTGCCTACTTCCAAAAAAGACTGAGACCACTTATCATAAAAACATAAAGGAACATGGATAGTTGAGAAAAAGAGGCCAGAAACTAAACAGAGAAGAAGGGAAGAGGCTAGGACAGTTTCAAGCCCATGAAATAGTAAGACGGCCACTTTACAGTTAGTTCTCTGGTCCTGGTGATGATACAGGTTAAAGGTGAAACTGTTGTTATTTGAATTAAACAGTCAATTGGGCACTTTCCTTTAAGGGTTTTATTTCCAAAAGAAGAGTCTCAAAACCACCTACTGGGTTTGGACCATTCTTAGAGAAAGAGGCTGAAAGTCTTATGGCTTTGAAAGAGCAAGGTCATGAGAAGATAAGTCATTTTAAATAAAGGGAAGCAGTTAGAGTCTTTCCACCTATACACAGACTCACCATCTCAGTTATAGGACAGAGAAGCTTGAGAGGATGGACGCTACGAGGGTGAGTGCGGTGCCATGAACAGACCAGAGGTGCCCAGGGGAACTACCAGGAGAGGGAAGAGACTCCGCCATTCCCCCAGATCTGAGGGGAAAGGAGGTCCTCCTGACCGCACTTAACTCCTCCTCAGCCCATCACTCTGTCAGACCCACCCATAGTACCTGGTCCTGACATCTGGGACAGATCCACATGCCCTTGGGAATCGTTTTCAGAGGAGGGTCTAAGCAGTCCAGATGATACACACGGGAACACGTGTCACACATAAGCAACTGGCCGCTTTTTCTGCAAACGCTGCAAAAATCCTCATGGATATCACCCTAGGAAATTGAGAGGAAAGGTAAGAGAAAGGACAAAAAAGGTAAAATGTGAATGTTAACATGCACATTCTGGACATGTATGTTTCAGGATAATTAGCTGTGCCCCCTCCAACATGTTACAAAAGCATTCAAGGAAAGAAGGAATTACCAATGGCACAGCCCCCACCTGCTCCATATAGCTGAGGCTCAATGGGCAGGGACAGTATCCTCAAACGAGAGTTGACAGAAAAGCTCTGTAACCACCTGGGCCCAAGTAAGCTTTCCAGGTGATAGCTCAGCACTTAGGTTTTGGTACAGCCCAACCCACAAGTCATCAAGTTTGAAGCCACTGGAATCCATTTATCAAAATGTTCCACAACATGATACAAACAATTCTCATTACCCATCATTTTTAGGGGAGTTCAGGATTGGGAAAAGAAGACAGACAAGAAATGGAATTTTACTAAATTCTTTGCTTGCTCAGGGAGAAAAAATACAGTGCATGTTCAAATGGGAAAAGATTAAGTCAGGAACAAATTACACTCACACGGGCTTTCTAACATGAAGAATTTAAAAAGCCAGAGCAACAGCTGATAATGTTCTCTTAAAACCACTATTTGGCATTTGCTGTGCAATGGGCCATTCTATGCTGGGAGGCTTTATTCCTCCCCATAAAACACGTCACCAGATGGAAAAAGACGAGCAGCCCCTGTGCCTGTCTCCCCGCCCCCACCACCGATAGTGCTGGTTCTCAGGTAAGTCTGCTGGAGCCCTCCGAACAGAAGGCCCCACCAGAAAAAAGCAGATCTACTTAAATTGGAGAGGAGGACACTGCGGGGGCGGGGGGAGGTATTTAGGTCAAAGGTATTTTTCAGCACGTCCATTCCTGGCCTGTTCTAGGAACAGGACTGATGAAGACCCACGGGCAGGAAGACTGAAGGAACGTGCCAGCGGTTACAGCCAGCAAGGCAGCGCCACAGCTTGGAGCCCCCTCTTTGCTTCCAGTATGTTGGTTTAGATTTCTAGGCTGTTCTGCCAGAAGGCCTGATACAGAAACTCTGCACAGACATCAATGTGTGCTCAAGTCTTTTCTGGGCTATATAAGCCCTCGGCCACCACTGCTGGAAGAACTTATCCTCCCTGACCTACAGCTTCTCTCTGAAGAAAAGGAAACTTTCTCTTAATTCACTAGGGTATCCAGAGCGTAGAAAACCGGCTGCAAAAGGTTGTAAGATAATCAGAGTGTGGACTCATTTTAGTCTTTCTTAGTAAGAAAATGTTATCTCTGGGCAATAAAAAAGATACTCAGTATATGAGCAAAAATACTGCATGAGCGCACGTGCAGCCTTAAAGTTCAGCTTTGAGGCAAAAGAAGTTAAGGTTTCATCCCTCACTTAACTGTAACTTTCTTCTTTCATTCTTAAAATCAGGCTGAAAGGTACTCTTCTCTAGAGAAACAGTCTTTCTTGAACCTGAGTCCTGTGTGAGTCTGCATCTTTATGAAGTTTATAAAAATTTTAAGGTTTCAGAGACTGTTTCACATGAATCCTAGATAAATTACCAGTGGTGAAGTAGACAAAACAAACTGGACATCTTATTCTGTTGGGTAAAGAGTCCTGCTCACTTTCTTTTGCTCCCGAGTAGGAGCACATCAAGAAGTGGAGGGCAGACAGCATGTAAAATAAAGGTTAAATAATTTCAAGTTTCAGAAGAAAAGAAGACTTCATATCCTATTTCCATGTTCTAGAGCAACAGTTCTCAGTCTATTCCATGTCAGGACCCCTCTGCAAATCTTAAAATTACTAAGGACCTCAAAGAGCTTTTATTTGTATTTATTTATATATTATTTGAATTATACTTATTGCTATTTACTGTATTAGAAGTTTTAAGTTTTCAATTTTGAAATAATTACAGAATCACAGGAAGTTACAAAAACAGTATACTGAAAAATTGTAAAACCCCAGAACACACAAATGCACATTCCATGAGCCAGCAGAGTTATGACATAGTTACAGGTCATGTAATATCTGGAAAACTCCACTGGTTACTCTTGAGAGAAAGAGAATGAAAATGGCAAAGAATATTTTAGTATTATCATGAAAATAGTTTTGATTTCATGGACCCCAAAAAGAGTCTCAGGGACCACACTTGGAGAACGACTACCCATAGAAATGAATAATAAAATGCCAAGGTATAGATTTTATCTACCCAGAGTGGGTTCTCTGCTTAGCTTAAAGAGAGCATAGGAAGTCCCATGGAGGTGCTGCTCCAGGTTAAAAGGCTCAGGCTTTGGTGACTGAATTACTACCATAAACCAAATGTTAAATTGAAAAATGGTGACCCATGATTCTTTGCTAGGAGCCAAGCATGTACATTTTTTGCAAACACCCTGGCTATATCAACTGCAACTCCATCATTTGCTAAAAGAATTTTATAACTATGTCAACATATCTTCCCTTCTCATAAAACGATTGTGGCAACAAGGTATATCCTGAGGATTAGTGTCTGGCTGGGTTTTGTATTACCAAGTCCTTCTAGACGGTTATTGATCCCCAGGAAATGCTTGCCGCTCAGCTGTGATTGTTTAATTAATGTTGTTGGGGCTTGTCCTACCCAGCAGCAAACATACAGAGTCTTGTGTGCTGATTTTAATCACTGCCAGTGTTGGGATACTGTAAAAGTAGAAGTCAATTGTCTTAAAAAAAATCCATTCCACTAGGTTTAACTTAGGAAGTTCTAACATATTTAGTGGTTTTAGAAAAGCCTTCTTTTACCTTTGGATTTCTGAACAGTGTTTGCATTTTAAGACAAAACCTGGCAGAAGCTTTTACTTTGTGATTTGATCGGAGTAGATCCTTCGAGTTCAGTCTCTCAAAGAAAGCCACAGACCCCCACTAGGGGGTCAACGTTTAGGAAAGAGACTCACGCGCAGAACCACAAAATCACTTGTTCCCTGGCATTTGTACACCACACTGTGGGAGACCCCCACCAAGAGGTCATAAGCCGGCAATCCCTCCAGCAATGCTTCAGCTGCAGAAAAGTTGGGACAATCTTTGGTACCGGCAAACAAGGTTTCTGACAAGAACTCCTGGTACTCATTACTCAGGACAGGTAGAAAACCTGTATCAATTACTAATGCCAAAAGTCAGGCAGGCTGGATGAAATTCTGAATTTCAAGAGCAAGGCTGAGTCTGTAGTCATCAGTTATGTCCAAGGAAGGAAGGCTGCCAGAGAACAGAACTCCACTATTACCCGGTCCTCCAAAGAGGACACTTCCTTTGCTTTTAGAATTTTAACTCAGAATGTGCATATGGTATTCTTTTGTTCTTCGGACAAGGGTAGATCATTAGTAAGCATGAGAACCTTCCAGTTCAAGGGACATTTTACTTGAAGATGATCCTAAAGACAAGCTCTGTAATTCAGAAAAGAAATGGGACATGTACAAAATGCAACTCTTGGTTTCCCTCCTCAAACCTGTTCCTTTTGCCATCCCAAGTAAAGGAGAGTTTTATCCTGCTAGTTGCGTAGGCCGAAAACTCTGGATTCACCTTTGATATTCATACCTCATGCCTAATCCTGCTGGCTCTTCAAAATATATGCAGACTTGGTCACTTTCCTCCATCTCTACGTCTACCACCCTACCAGGCCAAGCCGTCCTCAGCTCTTGCCTCCTAACTGGTCTCCCTGCTCCCATCCTGTCCTCTCCACAGTCTCTTCTCCAGATTTCAGACACAGTGATCCTTTTAAAATCCAAGTTGATTTTGTAAACACCTTAAAAATAGTAAACGCAGGCAAGAACCATCAAAGGATGCTATAACCACTTGGTAACAGTTTGTTGGGGAACTAGATATTTATATAGACTCAAAGCTATCTCTGCCAGAGAAAAGAGGCCCCTTTACAAGTGGAGAAATTTGATGTGATCTATGTTAAGGGATGAAAGCTAACATCACCAACAACAGGACAGACCGAATGACGGCACGTGCTGCTCGTCGTGATGCGCTGAAAAGGACTCACCATCTCATATTTAGTGTTCCTACAAAAATGCATACCCCGAGTCTACTCCTGAGGAAACAATCAGATCATCCAAATGGAGGGACACTCTACACAGAAACTGGCCTACCTTTTAAGAAATGTCAATGTCATGAACGACAAAGAAAAGCTGAGAAACTGCTCCAGAGTAAGGAGATGAAAGAGACAATACCATGGCAACAAATATCAAGAGTGACCTTAACCTGGATTCTGGAGCAGAAAAACAAAGTGCCCCTAAGGCAATTATTGAGACAACTGGAGAAACCTGACTATGGAATATATATTATAGAATAATATTTATTCAATATTAAGTGTCCTCAATTTGATAACTGCATTGTGACTATATAAGAGAGTATCTTTGTTCTTAGAAGATATATGCTGAAGGGTTTTGGGTAAAGATTCATGGTGTCTGCAACTTCTTAACTAGTTCAGCAAAATGTGTGTGGTGGGGGAGCATATGTGGCAAAATGGTAATAACCAGTCAATCTGGGTGGAAGGTATATATTTGTTCTTTGTATTTTCTTCCAACTTCTCCGTAGGTTTGAAATTTTTCAAAATAAAAAGTTGAAAAATTAATGTCACTCCTCTCCTCAAAGCCCTCCAGTGTTCCCCCATCTCCCTCCAAGTAAAAGCCCCAAGGCCCTGCACCCTGGGCCCTGCCACCTCTGGGATGCCATCTCCCAAAATCTCAGCGCTCCCTCTGCCCTGCTGTCCTGGCCTTCTAGCTTTTCCTCCACACCATGTATGTGCCCACCTCATGGCTTTTGCACTGCTGTTCCCTCTGCATGGAATGCTCTCCCCCAATATACTCTCACACCTACCAGAGAAGCTCTCTCTTCCCTCTCTTCATAAAATAGGAGCCTGCTGCCATAATGTCTTATCCCCCTTATTCTGTACCAGTTTTCTTTATAGCACTTATCATTACCTTTTATGTGTTCCTTTGCTTATTGCCTGCCTCTGGCCCTGTAACAGGAGCTCCTTGAGGGCAGGGAGTTGGTTTTGTTCCCTGTTCTAGCACCAGCCTCAACAACAGCGCTTGCTCAGCAGAGTAGTGTTCAGGAAGTATATGCTGACTAAACTCACTGCTTCGTAAATGCTCATTTAAAATCTTAGGGTGCTTGTGAGAGAACCACACCGATGGTCACCAAAGGGGAGGTGAGTGGGGGGCTGGGGGAAATAGGTAAAGGGGATTAAAGAGCACACTTATCATGATGAGCACTGAGTAATGTATCCAATTGTTGCATCACTATATTGTACACCTGAAACTAATATAGCACTGTATGATAACTATACTAGAATTAAAATTAAAAGCATAAAAATAAGTAAAATAAAAACAAACAAAAAAAACCAAATAAAATCTCAGGGTACTAGTTTACAATCCTGCAGTTTCTACATGCAGGGCTACTAAACTTTTTCAGGAACCTGTTTGATCAATTCTGCTGAATAAAGCTGCTTGAAAGAAAAGTTTTCCACTTCCTGAATTCTACTTTAAGCAGGAAACAAGGACTGCTGGGGGAAAGTGCACCTTGTTCCTTTTCCTCACCCCAAAACACAGACGATGGAAACCTGAGCACCTTTAAATTATATGAGCTGACTTCCCACCCCATCCCCCTTCCTGAGAACTCATTCACAGATCAAATCCAGATTTTAAAAACTCTGACTGAGCCTCCTGATGTAGGTGGATTCTCAAGGACATGGCAGGACCTGGGGCCCTGGCAGAAAGCTGCCTTACATGGTATACAGGGTCCTGTAGGGATTACTGCTGTTCCAGGGTTAGTCAAGGAGATGCAGCTGGTAAGGAGACAACACATGATAACGGTTTCCCCAATTTAAGCTCTCAGAAAGAGAGCATGCTTTTCCCAAGTTACTTACGTCTGTGGAGGTGGGGCTGGGCAGGGACACAGGCTGAACAGGTGCAGGGAAAGTGAATGTGGTCTCTGTCTTTTCATTTTCAGGGGAGTCAGGATGACTGGATGGGGGGGATGTTGGGGTAAGGGCTCCAAACCCCAGCACTGCATTGTATTTTGGAGGACGACCTATATACCAAGAGAAGGGAACAAAAGGGGAAAAAGGGGGAGGGAAAGAAAGGGGGAAAAATGATCTTACATACCTTTGGCCAGTGTTCCTCATTGGCTAGCATGGAAAAGGAAGTGAGGTAGCAGACAGAAGGTTAATACAACAGTCCCAAAGAGAGGAAGTAAAGCAAAGATTTAAATGTCATTAGAAACAACTGCATGAGTCTCAAAAGAAAGGAGGATAAGAGAGCCTTGGAGAATGACAGGAGGGCTGTGTCATGTCAAAGGGCCTGGCCTTGGGTGGATCAAGGTGACACTCCTGGACTATTATGACTTGAGATTTCTAGCGTGAGAACAAAGCTCAAAGAGGGCCACAGCTAGGAGTAAGAGTTTATTTTCCCACTTCTTCTACATATTGTTCTCTAAGGTTTCTCTGTAACCATCATCCTTATAATCATTAATGATTCCCTGGTCCCACAAATGGATTTATTTAGGATTTCTGCTTTTCCTTTTCTCTCCTATCTACATTTTGGTCACTTTACTGCTTGTGAGGGTGGAGAAAGGCAAACTGAGGAGGCAAAACCCAAGTTAACTATTCTTACCCCTTGCTAGTAGAGCTAGTGAGAAATATGTTCTGGGACTAGCTGGAACCTAAGAGCTAAAAAGATGATCTGAGCTTGACAATGATTTTAAGTATGTCTGGAGCCAGATTCCCTCCCCGGATGATCAAGAACTGTCTCCCCGCTTCCGTCACAAACACTCTGGTGAACTACATGTCTAGGGACTGGGGCCTGTCACCAAATCTCAGAGAAGGCCCTGCCATCAGCAATGCTGCTGAAAGACTGACTGGAACAAGAGCACTGGGAATCAAGCCTCGAGGCTACAGAGGATCTCTAAATGGACCCTGACGGGTGTGGCAAGACTGGTCAACCACTCCTGCTTTATGATACATCTAAGCCAGGGTCCTTGTCAGAAGGGCCAGGATCAAAGCTTCTAAGCTTTGAGTGATCAAAAGTATACGTTCAGCACGGCAAAGGGGGAAAAAAAAAAAAGCCAGAGAGGCACACAACTGCCTACAAACACTGGTGAAAGGTTCACAACTTTGCCAACAGTTATAATTTATATCAGGATTACGCGCAAGAGTCATGATTCTGTCAGACATTACACAAATATTACCTATCCGTGTTAAACTGGCAATGTCTGCAGTACAAAGACAGGGAATTTAGGGCTGCCCAAAGGGGAAGTGAAAGATGAATGCTCTTTGTTTACCCACAGAAGGCACATCTAGGCATTGTGAATACAGGCTTTCATCCTCTGACCTTGGCAAGTGATGCCAAGGTCTTTCTGGCTCGTTTAACCCCTGTCCTCTTAGCAGATACTCCCCCACCAGCACACCAATTTAACTGTGGCTTCTGACGGGGGGCTCCTTTCTGAGAACTGGGTCAGAGGTCACTAAAAATTGCCAAAAATAAAACAACAAAAAATAACCCACGACACTGGTTACTGTGGCCCAGGAATCAATGGGAAGCAACGACGTAGGGTTTCCCATGGAAATATTTTTTTGCCACCTAAAGGACAGGTAGGTAATGAAACATTAGAATGGGTCACTGAGGGCGGGTACGCTCTCTCTTTTGGGCGAGGAGGTGGGTAATGGTACAGTCGCGGCCCTGCTGCAAGGGTCGGGATGACCTCCTAGGCGTCCAAGAGCTCTGAGACAGTGTGTGCTTATGCAAAAATTAGTATGCTACTCTACTCATTCTGCAACCTTTCTAGCCTGGAATATAATTCAGGGACACATTATCATGTGGAGAAAGGGACCTTGGGGTGTATTACTGACATCAAAGAACAATTTCAGAACCTTGTTTATGAGCTCAAACTCAGAGCTGTTAAGACCTACTCAGACCTGCAGGGAGGGCTGCTGCCTCTGCCCCGCCCACAAGTAAGGGGCACCAGCTGCCCCCCAAGGCCTGAAGTATGGGGACGGTGCTCTTTAGGAACTTCTACTTCGGGGAGCCTGTTTCGACCATGACCTCGCTTCCTTCGCTGGAGATGCCCTCAACTCATAGATTCTAAGTTCTCAGTGTGGCTACGTCTCTCCTTCCTGGAAAGTCTGCAGCTCACAGAAACCCGAGTCATGCTCTGGTCTCGCCGGCAGCAGGATGACTTAGACACTACTAAGAACACCTTGGCAACAGCAGGCTCTGTTCTGCTCAGTGATGCTAAAATGCTTCCTTTCACACAATGTTCTGTTCGCTGTGCTATTCATGGACAGCCTGGTGGGCCTGGGGCAGAAATGCTGTATTAAGCCATTTCCTTGAGTCAGCTTTGCCAGAATCCTAAGAAAGGAAGCTTGCGATTCAGTATACAGAACTCTAAGGAGAAATATCACTCTCTTCTCCCCCCATTTTCAGAGAACAACAACAACAAAACTATGTTCAAGGGATTTAGGAGTTAGGCTCTAGGACAAGGGGAGGAAGTAGGGGGAAGAAACACGACACAGAAAGCAGAAGCAACAGCGAGGGAGAGCTACAAAAAGGTACTCACCTCTCTTCCGGGTCCCAGGATGCATTGTACTGTTCAGGTATGTGACTGCACTCTTCTTACGCTTTGAGGATTGAAGAGGGAAAGGTAACCAGTTGAATAGCATGGTTACTACTAATACTGGCACAAAAGCTATAGACCAAGCACAGCATGCCTGTCAACACGCCAGCGACTGAGTGCAAGTCACCCCAAGGTCTCAGTGCTAATGGGCTTTATTATATACACTTGGCTCTGAGAGAATAGAATATTCCAGAAAGGTCTGCCTCTGCTTCAGATGACAGCTGTGTTGAAGCCAAGAGGAGTTAAATTTTTAAGGTAGGCTTGTATTTGCTCAAACTTATGGGAAAAACTAAGGGGAAAGCAGTGAATAATAAAAATCAAACAGTATCATTAGCCAGAGAAAAACCCATCATTTCACAAAGCTGGCCAAGTGTAATCAGGGTACTGTTCTTCAGTAGGTTTTCAGATGGGAGGAGATGAAAAAAATCATAAATAAAACTAGAACTGTGAGGGGAAGGCCAAGTTCTGGCCAGGAATACCTCTGGCTCAAAGACTGCTCCGCTGTATACTGGATTTGCAGTTGTTCTTCTTTTTCGCTCTTGCCTCTTGCTTTGGATTTCTTGGGAAAGCAAAAGGTTTGAGTTAGAAGAGAGGTATAGAGAACCTCAAAAACTGAACTTCAGTGTTTATCTTTTGGTTTTCCCATGACAAATCAGAAATGGGGGCACATCCCTCTGTTTCACGGCAGCCTCAGCAGAGGCAAGCACACCGCTGGGAACAAAGGTGTAGGACCATCTACTCTCACCTCTCAGAAAGCAAGACCATGCTGTCCCACAGTGTGGCTCTCTGTGACCCAGAGCATAACAGCACACGACACATATAAACAAGCTGTCCTCATCTATTTGTAGTTCACTGGAATACAGGTGTGGATGAACTTTATCCACAGACCTAGACTGAGTAACCATAGTTCACCATTCTTGAGTTAAATAACTAGGACAGGTGTAGCTTTGTAACTGTTCTTAAAGTTCGAATAACCCAGAGTGATTGAAAAATATAGACAAAGACTTGTCAGAGGGGCATTTGATACTTCACGCTGTCAGGAAAAAAAAAAAAAAAAAAAAGAGTTCCTCTAAAGTGAACATAAGTCATAGAGGCAGCTGGGGAGTCTCCCCTGGACAGCAGTGTGGATGACAACAGGGAGGGGAGGGGATGAACGTCAGATAGAGGAAAGGCAAGTTTGACTCCAAAGGAAAGAAAGTCCACACTAGCTGAATCATACTCTATTGGCGTTCCAGTGTTCCACATTCTAGCAATAAATTCAACACCATTTTCAAGAACAAAGCTCTGGGCCAGAAGCAAGGCAGCACCATGAATATCTTCTCTTACCTTCTAGATGGTCATGTGTTACCAATCCTAGAGACACCATGAAGGCAAGTTTCTGTGCCAGAGAAACAAGAATGTACTTCAGTTTGGGTTCTCACAAAGTCAACTGCATGTTCCTAGTTAGACCTCCTTGGCAAAGCCAGCCCAATGGGCTGGTCGCTTGAAGGAAGGAGGCCAGGTTCAGGTGACCAAAGAACAGACCTTCCAGAGCCACTCTGGAGGCTTTCTGGTCTTATAAGGATCAAAAGAGAAGGTCAGGGGCCTGCATCTTCTACTTTCTCAATGACAGAAATCAGCATCTTTGAGTGCCCGAAGTTTTTTTTTTTCCAGAAAAATCCTCTTACAGGGAAGAGGATTTCATACTCAAAAAACATGCAGAGGGTTACAAAGAGCCTCCCATACAACAAGCTCCAGATGCTAAGTACTTCACTTGTCACAGCAGGCAAGGATTTCTTACATTTTTACTACCAATGACTGGACAATGCTAACTCAAAGCTAAATGAATTTTAGGAACAACAGCAGATGGTTCTGCTTAATATTACCATTTTTAAACCAAACACGGACCTAAAAATTATGGAGGAATCTCTCTTTGGAGAGCACTCTCGGCGCTCCATTGGAAGTTAAACTGATTAGAATACTGAACCCCAGGGCGCCTGGGTGGCTCAGTTGGTTAAGCGACTGCCTTCGGCTCAGGTCATGATCCTGGAGTCCCAGGATCGAGTCCCGCATCGGGTTCCTTGCT